ACTAAGGTCTTGTAGTGGAACAAGAGGCGTGTGAACAACAGGCACAACTCCGATATAAAGTTTACTTTTTCAAAGTTGACAAAATGCCACGTGAGTCCACTTATATCAGTTCATTCGCAATAACCTAACCATCACAAAACGTATATTCGATCAAATAAGCCTCACGTAGAAAATTAGCAATTACATTTTTTGTTGACCAAATTCGACACTCTCTCATTGACCTCCATACAAAAATGATTCACTTCGTGGTCTTATTTTCGTGGACAGATTTGGGGTGGAGTAAACCCTCTCGCTTCGCCTTTTCCTCTCTGGTGCTACACTGGGCTTGTCTATGGTCAGAGATACTGTATATAATGTCGATGGTCTTGTCTCCACCCTAACAATGGGAGTCATTGTCCCAAAGGCGGGAAGGCAGGTGGTTTGCTTATCGGTCTGCTTATCGCCACACGAGACTAGTGCTAGGCTACCTAAAGGCCTAAATACGGTATCTTAATTGTTTTAATGAGTGGACATTATTTAGGTTTTTGCATGAATCTGGCCTGATGTCCTTGAGATTTGTCCTCAAAGCTTTTCCAAACATTATCATGTCAATTCATAGATTTTGGGGGTTGGCAAGTCATAAAGGTCCTTGTCTTTTGTCCTGATTAGTCTACTTTATGCACTTGCAATAAAACTGCATCACACAGTCACCAAACCCATCAATTCTTCTAACCTTTAATCTGCTCAGATAAAACTGCAGATCAGTGTTGATCTATGCGCCAGAGAAAGGGGTAGGCATGTTGGTGAAAAGTAAAATCATGAACTCCAGATCCCCAAATAGTGAAGACATGCAAAAAGTTGCACACCGAAAACAATCATTTTTGAATTTTTATTATTGTATGTAGTCTTTTTCACACAGCATTGTAAATTCTCACATTTGATGGAGAACCACACAGCACTCACACCTGATTGTAAACTCACACCATCAAGCATGAAGAGGGCACGGCGGAACTCATGGCCATGAAGGTGGTGGGTGTGACACAGGTACGGGTGAGGAGGGCACTGTGTGGCTTAAAGCAGTGGTGATGGCTGGGACATTTTGGCATTGCTGAACTCTGAAGTTCTAGAAACTTCATTATCAAAATAAGGATGAATATCTCCCCTGATCCAGTGGCTGTTTCATGTTAAACTCAGCCCACTATAGTGTTCCTCATTCCTTTCGCCAACTGAAGTCTACATAGACATGTTCAGTGTAATGCGCTTACTATGTTACTTGGATAGTTTCTAAGTCTCTCACTGGCCTCATCCATAAATAACAGGGGTCCATTTTCTAAATAGCGACCATTTTGATACTAATGGACAGAGCCCAAAACAGTTTTAGAGGGCTGGCAGAGAGGCCGGCAACTGCTCAAGTTGAACGTATTAACCAGCTTGCCAACTGAGGATCACTTTCAAGAAGTGGCCTTACACTATATCCACAGAGTGTTCATTCAACAACTCTCAGAAGTGGTGGGATTCAGACAGCTAATCCTATTTCACACAACTGAGAGGGGCTTGGTGGCATCGGCTGTGTAAATGAGCAGTTTGATTCTAATGTGGAACATGATGATCATCATATACCGTACTAAAAATGACCATCAACATGGATATCAAGGTCAACACAAGCAGGACACTGCAGAACAACAGTGTTTCACTGTTACAAGCAGACAGAGAGACTGACAGATGCTTGACCATAATCTGTACATATACACTTACAAGAGGCATACATAAGATCCAGTACGAACTGTAACAAGGCAGACTCAGCCCTATATGGCACAGCTCACTCTCAATTATCAATTACAACAACAAGAGAAAACAAAACACAAAAATATATATACATTTTCTGTTTAAAGTATACATAAGCCTACCATAAAATAAAGCTTTGTACAAGTATTTGATGGTACAGTGTTTGTTGTTTCAACATGAAAGCAAAAGAGGAATGGGTAGTAGATGTAGAGGCATGTTGTCTGTGAGGGGCAGCAGATGATTCTAAAATGCACACGGTGGCAGAGAGTGATGGGAATGTATGTACGGGAGAGTAGCGTTGTCTGTGAGGCCAAACTGAGGTGGAGGCACACAGTTCAGGACATTAAAGCACAGGAGTAATAGAGTGGAACAGACACTCGCCTCATAGCCACAGGCATGAAAATAAATCTGAGAGGCCTGACTACAACAGTAATGCTACTGAGAGCTTTAGGAACCCTTGCTTTCTTTCTCTCTCTCTCTGTCTCTCTGCATCTACGTCTGTCACTCTCCCCATCTTTCCCAAATCCCCCACTGTCTCACTTTTTCATTCGCTCCCTCCCTACCTTTCCCTTTATCCATGGATTTATTTTAGTACAAAAACACTATATCAACTCTGCATTGGGTATGGTAATAGAACACAATACTTATTTTAGTTCTGAGCGATTAACCGAAATTACTTGAATTTAATTGAGTTTAAAAAAAATCTGTGAGCTCGATGCTAAGTTTCTCTAGAGATAAATCAGATCAAGCCCGAACTGTGTGATGTAGTAAGGAGTTGTAGTTTCTAACAGGCCAATATTCTACATAGTTTAGCACAGAAAATGTGGTAATTAACTATAATGACCATAATCCATTGCGCGTCCGCTTACTCGTCCTGTCTCGGTCTGTGTGGATCAGACACTGAGACCTCGTTTATGGAGACGGAGAGAAGAGAGAACGTGCGAGAGGGATGGAAAGCAGTTGCTTTGCGAGGTATCTCTACATGAAAATACATGGTCTAAGTGATTGATAGTTGGTATTCAGCAGTCATAAAGGTATGCCTTATTTACTTTGAAGAACTACTAAAATAGTGATTTTGTCAGACAGCATAGGCAGCAGCTCTATAGAGATGAGATGATGACTTGGAATGAAATAATAAAACAAATATTTTATTAAAGCTAAGTAATGTGAATAAATTATGGTTAATAAGTGATCAGCAGTAATGGACAGTCACTACCATCATGTGACTTTTATGAATTGTTTTATTCTGTGTTCTAGCATTCAACCCACATAATGCATAGTGCATTTAATGTTTAAAATGTTTTATTGAAACAGAAATTGAAACCATTATTATTTTTTAAATAATCTAATCGAAACCGAACCGACCTCAAAAAGAACCATCATGGCACTAACACCAGCACTAACATCTTTGGATGTTAATAAAACCATTTGGCCATGGGGGGAAATATGTGTGAATACAGATGTACAAACAAAACCAACGTGATACATTGGTTGGTCTTACTGTTCGCTTGTATGGCTTATGCTCATATTTATTTAGGCTGTTTCTGTGTGTAAATCAATGCTTGCCGCTCTCACATCATCTCTTGTGCGGTCACTCACTTTGATGATCACTAGCATAAGGATCCATTGCCAAGTAGTGAGAAATGACAGTGCCTATTAAAAAAGGACAACAGTCGTCATGAACGTCACTGTCCAGATTGGCGAGGGTGTTAGGCTGCAATAATGCCATCTTGCCTGCTTAATTAATACTCAGAATGAAGTCCCAGCTACTTCCCTCACTGGTGGCGATGACGCAAAGAGCTGTAGCGCAAATATGCCCAGTAAATACTTATCTCTTTTTAGCATCATGTATTACCCGTGAGAACATGAGTCAGATCTAACATCCCGCTCTAGAAGGGAAAGAAGTCGATGAATACAAGTCACGTACACAATTCCACAGTAGAGTAGTTTCCCCCTTTAACTATCACCAACACCCCTTTACCTACTTCCCCTCAGGTGGGAGTTAATTTAGCAAGTTCACAAGAAAATGAGCAATGCAAGAAAAAAAAACATGAACATCAGCAAAAGATTTATCAGTCAGCGAGAAAGAGGCTCAATGTTACGCTCAATGATCAGAGCTGCCAGAGGCTCTACAGTACCCCCTCTCTCCCTCCCTATCTCCTCACTCTCTCCCTACTCAAACACAGGCAGCAAAGGGATGGCTAAGTGTGATATTGTCTCTCCAAAACTATAACAAAACCTAGGGACAGAAAGCACTTGTGAACCACAGAGAGCAGTAAATTGGTTCCTATCTCCCCTGAGCCCAAACCCAGACGGCCACAGCACCTGCCCGCTGAGCCATCTGATTTCATGTTTTATTGCGTATGTTGTTTTCCTCTGCCATCGTCATTATTAGAATTTGGTCTCATTATTGTGCCTATGGTGGGTTTCTCAGACCTCCTCTTCAAGGCTGAGAATAAGTGGTGTCCGAACTAGAGAGGTCGGTGGCATCTAGTCTGAGGTGGTGAAGAGGGTGCAAACAAGGAGAGCAACAGAGGTCTCTATGGTACATCATCCCTCAATCTATATTTTATTTAGTTGTTTGGCTTATCACAAAGACAACACAGACAGAGTAGCTTGCCCAACAACCCTCGTATCCAAGGGATGATGAAAGAAAGGAAGATAATGAAGGAGAGAGAAAAGGTGAGGTGAGGCATGGCACAAAAATCAAAGGAATGAACTGTCATGGTTCCACCAATCATTGGTGATGTTTTCTTTGAGATAGGTGCTGTTACTGGCCTTGGGCGATGAGCTCCTCATGAAGAGGGAGAGTGGAGCTGGATACCCAATCTTGAGACAGGCACTGGACAGACAGCCACGTTCATTCATCCAGACAGACCTTATTAATTCAGCCATTGACTTTTTTATCTGCACAGGTTGTTCAACTATGTCTACTGATGTGAGAGAGGAGCAAAGCGATGGGCAGCTATGACTACTAAAACAGATCACAAGTAGTCGGAGCAGGAGAGGAAAGATAGAGATTGTTGGAAAGTAAGAAAGGAAAACAGAAAGAAAGAAAGTAATGTAAAACAGAGTGCCATAGAAGAAAGGAGTGAATGTCCATTTCCTTCTTGTGGTCGTTCTTTCCTCAGCCTTAAGTCTCCCCATCAGTCCATTCTATCTCATTGCCATGGTGGAGGTGACCCAGTGAATGTGATACTGTAGCTGAGCGTAAGGGGGGTTAGTAGGGGGGCTCGTTAACCCTGACACCCCCAGCCCAGCATGGCAGTGGGCAGCAGCAGCAGCAGGGGCAGCATGGGTGCTGTTTGGCCTGCCGCTCCTCTATGGCCCCCTCGGGCCCCGGAGCCCACACTAGACTTCCCCTTCTCCGAATATTGAGGGATAACGTTGAATTCCTGACTTTCCTCCTCTTCTTCCTCTTCAGTGTCTTCCACCTGAGAGAGAGAGGGAATGTGATCATTCAGAATTCAAACAGAGCCAGGGGCGCAACTTTGGTTTTAGAAGTGGGGGGGGGGGGCATAATTATTATTATTTTTATTTTATCCAGTCGGACGAACACTCCAAACAACCTGCCCGACCGCTTGGTAGGCGTCCGCATGGTCCTAAAGCACACCGTTGCCTCGTTTTGTATCACATTCCAATGATAAAACTGGGGGGGACAAAAATGCAATTTCAGTGAAAGTTGCGCCCCTGAATAGAGCGAATGGAATTTGCAGGTAATGAACTATCACATATAGTCCATAGTGTATCTGCTTGGTGTAAATATGAAACATCTTGGCAATAAATAGGCTTGTTAAAACGATCCATTATTTACGTGTAATAGGTGGACTGTTATGAGCCTCCTGACAGACAAAAAAGCAACTCAGCGTTAAAAGTTGCTTTTCAACGTAGGTGTTGAATTCCGAATCCAAAGGTGTCAGCATCTTTATTATTAGGAAGAAAGGTGAGAGTATTGGTCACAGAATAGGATCAACAAAGTGAGAAGAAAAAAGTGGAAGAAAATAAGTGTATTACAGAGAAACATCTAGAACCTGCACTCAGAGGGAGGGAGGCTTAGAGGTTAGGGGGACAGAAGAGAGGGAAGGATTGGAACGGTGTAAAGGATTGTAGCAGAGGAGAGGAGAAAGGGAGTGAGAGGATTAGGATGACAAGAGAAAGGGGGAGAGAAGACAGATGGGTGTGAATAAATGAATATCAACACAAAAGGATTGATGCTCCCTACTGCAAACACCTCCGGCTAATCGTCACACACAGTGAGTGAGAGAGAGAGATAGGGAGAGTGACAGAGGGATAGGGAGAGGGCCAGAGATATAGGGAAAGGGCCAGAGGGACAGGGAGAGGGCCAGAGAGATAAGGAAAGGGCCAGAGGGATAGGGAGAGGGCCAGAGAGATAGGGAAAGGGCCAGAGAGATAGAGATAGGGAAAGGGCCAGATAGATAGGGAGAGGGCCAGAGGGATAGAGAGAGGGACAGAGAGATAGGGAGAGGGCCAGAGAGATAAGGAAAGGGCCAGAGGGATAGGGAGAGGGCCAGAGAGATAGGGAAAGGGCCAGAGAGATAGAGATAGGGAAAGGGCCAGAGAGATAGGGAGAGGGCCAGAGAGATAAGGAAAGGGACAGAGAGATAGGGAGAGGGCCAGAGAGATAAGGAAAGGGACAGAGAGACAGGGAGAGGGACAGAGAGATAGGGAGAGGGCCAGAGAGATAAGGAAAGGGACAGAGAGATAGGGAGAGGGACAGAGAGATAGGGAGAGGGACAGAGAGATAGGGAGAGGGACAGAGAGATAGGGAGAGGGACAGAGAGATAGGGAGAGGGACAGAGAGATAGGGAGAAATAAAGGGAAGTAACGGTAAAAAGGGAGGTGCTGGGTCTAGTTCAATGCCACAGTAATGTGTTGACTGTGACAGTGAGCCTTGTGTTGAGTCACATGTGTTGGGAGTATATCTCAGGTCAGTTCTGTGCATGAGCTTTGACACTCAGGCAGCTCTGTTGGCGCTCATGTCACACCGTGGGTCATCATGCAATTCACAGAGCATCCCAGTGAGAACCTACTTTAGAAAAACCCAAGGAACAAGCTTTTTGTCCACCATTGTTTTTAAGTTACTGTACAGTATTTAGGTAGTCTGGGTTTGGTGAGGCAATGAAGAGTACTTAAACTCACGCTGTTGCGTTCTGATAAAATCTTGACGTTGACATTGACCTTGTCCTGAAAGATGCGAGGGGAGGGAGTGGCAGATGCATGGCGACGAGGTGGCAGAGTAGTGCTCTCCACAGGGCGAGGGGATGAGCCACCCAAATAACTGATAGCATTACCTGAGACACAACAACAGACATCATCATTATCACCACCATCCACATTATCATCAGCATTATCATCATCCACATCATCACCATTATACCCACTGCTGATGATGCAAATGTCCTCAGAACATTGAATTATTCATAGTAGCCATGAATTCGTTAATCAACTGGGCATTGCACCCTCAAGGCATGGCAATCATTCAGTTATTCACCTCAGTTGCAATATGGGAATCAGATGTGAATGAAACTGTTTCAATTAACACTGCTGTAAATCAATATTGTAATTAAGTGCTAGAGTATACCATACAGAACAAGTAGGCAGCTCTCTAGGGCTACTGGGCTAGAGAGTGCCCGCTACTCTATTTGTGTGATCTGTTGATTTCAAGTGGGCTCACAGGACCAGGGCTATTGCTGTAGGGGGTGTCATTGTGGGCAGTTGAGGGAGTATTACTCACGCAGACAGACGTTGCTGTCAAACATGTGTAGGATGCGCAGACAGTCCTGCCACTGGTTCCCACTGCCCTCACAGCTGCACCACTGGAACACGTCCATACTGATATTGTTCACGTAGTTGGGGGTCATGATGGTGCCTGGAGGAGGTTGTTTCATAGAGATGTGTCAGCAGGCCTGACTTCAATACGAACTTGGAACGTTTGATCCAAAGCCAAACAAGGCATTTGGCATTGAAATGAGTGCCTGCCTATACCTTGGGGTTAGCAAGAGCTAACAACAATGATCTGATTAAAAGGCCCTTGGAGACAACTCAGCACTCCTTCTCTACCATTGTTTCTTCCTTGTGTTGTTAATCACTGTTCCATCCCTTCCCTCCATCTCATTTCTTCCACCCCCTCGATCCTGTTCTCTCTCCAGCTCACCTATGAGTCCGGCGTAGGCCTTAAGGCAGACGGCTCCACTCTCTCTCATGCAGCCAGAGGGAGAGTGGGACGAGGGCTGGCAGTTGTGCTGGAAATCAGCCAGCCGAGATCTGACAGACACCCACACCAACACACACATTCACACAAACACGCCCAAACACACACGGGAGACAAACATAATTATAAACAGGTGCCAATACTGGGTTGGCAACTCAGCGGTGTAATTTTCTGAGGGCGCCTTTACAATTATGTTTTTGAGATTTAGTACCTAGCGAAAGGCAGAATCCACAGCACATGAAAGCCTACAGAAAGATAACCTTACACCTTGGAATCTTAGTGTTAACACACGCAATGCTTATTTTATACACATTTTAAAAACATTTATCCGAAACATGATGAGACTGGAGGTGCTGCAACATTATTATGAACCAGTGTTAATTTTGGCACTCTTTTCTAGATTTATATATAATTTAGTTTTAGATACATTTTTGCCATTTGAATAATGATTTAGTCTAGTTATTGTCAAAATGACGAAAAAAGTGGGCCATTTTTGTTAACTAAATGTCCTTTCATTTTTGTCACATTTTAGTCACATCACATTTGTATTGCGTCATTAACCTATAGTAAACATAAAACACTCACTTCCATGTGCACAAACATACATATCATTGTCTTACCAACATACAGTATTTTTCTGCATAACATCCTATTCTCTTCCCAACAGCAGAAATATATATAAGAATATATAAGAATTATCTGGCCATGTAAATTCCTAATTCAGCCTACATAGATTTTGCACATTACATACAAAACAGATACATACAAGAGCAGAGAGAGAGAGAGAGAGAGAGAGACGAGAGCGAAGATGAGGATGAGAGGAGAGAGAGGAGAACTCGTAGGACAGAGGAGGAGAGAGAGAGAGAGAGAGAGTAGGGAGACGGAGGAGGGAGAGAGAGAGAGGACGAGAGAGACGAGAGAGAGAGAGAGCAGAGGGAGAGAGAGAGAGAGAGAGGAGAGGGAGGAGAGAGAGAGGGGAGAGAGGAGAGAGAGAGGAGGGAGGAGAGGGAGAGAGAGAGAGAGAAAGAGTAGCACAATCACCAGAAGGTGCCGCAAAGTATTGGCAAAGTAGTGTGGGTTGCACCTCCATCACTTGGTTGTGACTTTGCCATTGTTATAAACGTTCCACAGACACTGCAGCCACATTGATGTCCAAAAGTAGAACGGGGGCTAATGACTTTGAACTGGAGTTAATGACTGTTTCACCCAGTGATGTAGTCGAGTCACTAAACCTCGAGTCCGAATCGAGTCCCAAGTCCCCTGTGCCCGAGACCGAGTCCAAGTCAGAGTCACCAATCATCGAGTCACGAGTCGAGTCACGAGTCCCTATGGCTGAAGTCGGAGTCCCAGTGCTCAAGTTGTGGTCCAATTGCTCAAGTCTGAGTTACTGGGTCCACAATAACTTAAAATAAAGTGACTTACCCAGTATGATGTAGTGTAGTGGCAAGAGGAATTTAGTCAATAAATTGTTTGCTATCCCTTTTCATTTATTTCTGTGCCACCAAATGTTTGCATTGAGGCTACTGGTAATGTTACCTGGGCCACGTTCAGTTGCAAAACGTTCTCGAACGTTGCATATGGAAATTCCATGAATAGAGCCAATGTTATTCCTTATTCAACATGTCAAAGAGACATGTTTGTTCTACATAGCACATTTCTATCTGAAAGTTCCAAAACGTTGAAAAACTAGATGATTACTTCTAGGATTACTTCTAGTTTAAGCTACCTATCAATCATTCTTTTTTCGACTAGTGGACAGCCAGTGAAAAATGCGCTCTTGGAACAGCTGCAGTGCGGATCCCAGCCTATGGAATAAATGTTTAAGGGAGTTCCTCCCTTCTAAACTCCCCCGTGGTGTTGTGCTCCATACTGTCAAAAACGAGTTTAATTTAAGAAGACCGCGAGTAGGGCTTTTATTGCTCAATCTAATTCATGCTGATTATTATAATTTTTTACATGTGCCTAATGGACACATGCTCAAACTTGCGCACTTTTGATAGACTTAAACAGCTGCAAATTATCGAGATATCAAAGTGTCACCAACAAAAACGCAAACAATAGGCCTATAGCAAATGCAGTATATGGCATACATTTTTCACATACAAATAGCACTTTTGGTTGTGCTCAAAGCATGCCATTTTGAAAGCAGCATTTATTTTTCAACTCGAAGCAATGAGCCCAATCAGTCCTCAATGACTACAAATTCATAAACAACAGAGTAGGCTAATATGTCCTTCGTTTTTGGGTTATACTCAGATGAAACAGTTTGGCTATATTTATATCTATATTTCCATATTTCCAAGTCGTATTGTTGAAGATCAAGGAATATTAAATTAACTGGAAATCTGACACTCTTTTTTTTGTTTTATGTAAAGATATAGCCTAATCCTATTATTATATGTAGTAGAAGCCTACATAACCAAACCATAAAGTAAAATGCAACATCCATTTATGGCCAACTATGTAAACTCTAACATTGATTTATCCTGCAATAGATGTCGTTCATAAATAAATAATATGCCATTTAGCAGATGCTTTTATCCAAAGCGACTTACAGTCATGCGTGCATATATTTTTGTGTATGGGTGGTCCCGGGGATCGAACCCACTACCTTGGCGTTACAAGCGCCGTGCTCTACCAGCTGAGCTACAGAGGACCACCCATACACAAAAATGTATGCACGCATGACTGTAAGTCGCTTTGGTAATATATATTTTTCTTATTTTAATGCCTCTTGAGAAGGTTGACGTTTATTGGGATGAGTCTTCTCCTTAAGGCAGAACTGATTCCGCTAGATGGGCCAGCTGCAAAGTCAAAATTGGCTGTATTGTAAAAATTAAGGAAAACTAAAATTTGCTTTAATTTAAGGTTAAGCATTAGGGTTAGCAGTGTGGTTAAGGTTAGGGTTACATTTAAAATCATCTGATTTGATGACTTTGTGTCTGTGCTAGCTAGTGACCACTCTGCAGGGCCGACTCCAGAACAAGATTCATGATGAAAAACGCTAACCTGCGCCTCTTAAGGGCAAAGTAATCTAAAAGTAACTGAAAGTACTCCGATTACAGTGCCTTTAGAAAGTATTCACACCCCCTTGACTTTTTACACATTTTGTTGTATTACAGCCTGAATTTAAAATCGATTAAATTGAGATTTTTTGTCACTGGCCTACACACAATATCCCATAATGTCAAAGTGGAATTATGTTTTCCGAAATGTTTACAAATTAATTAAAAATGAAAAGCTGAAATGTCTTGAGTCAATAAGTATTAAACCCCTTTGTTATGGCAAGCCTAAATAAGTTCAGGAGTAAAAATTTGCTAAACAAGTCAAATAAGAAGTTGCATGGACTCACTCTGTGTGCAATAATAGTGTTTAACATGATTTTTGAATGACTACCTCATCTCGGAGAGGAAGAAAACCGCTCAGGGAGTTCACCATGAGGCCAATGGTGATTTTAAAAGAGTTACAGAGTTTAATGGCTGTGATAGGAGAATACTGAGGATGCATCAACAACATTGTAGTTACTCCACAATACTAACCTAAATGACAGAGTGAAAAGAAGGATACCTGTACAAAATAAAAATATTCCAAAACATGCATCCGGTTTACAACAAGACACTACAGTAAAACTGCAAAAAATTTGGCAAAGAAATGAGCTTTTTGTCCTGAATACATACTCCTGTAGCTCAGTTGGTAGAGCATGGCGCCTTTATTCAATGCTGGGTTCGATTCCCACGGGGGGCCAGTATGGAAAATGTATGCACTCACTAACTGTAAGTCGCTCTGGATAAGAGCGTCTGCTAAATGACTGAAATGTAAAAAAAATTATGTTTGGGGCAAATCCAACACAACACATTACTGAGTACTAATCCCGAGCCGACTAGGTGAAAAATCTGTCGATGTGCCCTTGAGCAAGGCACTTAACCCTAATTGCTCCTGTAAGTCGCTCTGGATAAGAGCGTCTGCTAAATGACTAAAATGTAAATGTAAAATGTACTACTCTCCATATTTTCAAGCATAGTGATGGCTGCATCATGTTATGGGTATGCTTGTAATTGTTAAGGACTGTGGAGTTTTTCAGGATAAAAAAGAAACGGAATGGAGCTAAACGCAGGCAAAATCCTAGAGGAAAATCTGGTTCAGTCTGTTTTCCACCAGACACTGGGAGATTAATTCACCAAAATCTACAATAGAGTTGCTTACCAAGAAGACAGTGAATGTTCCTGAGTGGCCGAGATACAGTTTTGACTTAAATCTACTTGAAAATCTATGGCAAGACCTGAAAATGGTTGTCTAACAATGACCAACAACCAATTTTACAGAGTTTGAATTTTCTTTTAAAGAATAATGGGCAAATATTGCACAATCCACATGTGGAAAGCTCTTAGAGACTTACCCAGAAAGACAACCAGCTGTAATCACTGCCAAAGGTGCTTCTACAAAGTATTGACTCAGGGGTGTGAATACTTATGTAAATTAGATATTTCTGTATTTCATTTTCAATAAATTAGCAAAAATCTCAAAAAACATGTTTTCACTTTGTCATTATGGGATATTGTGTGTAGATAGGTGAGAGAAAAAATATATTTAATCCATTTTGAATTCAGGCTGTAATCAGTGGGGTGTATTCATGGATGCCAAGGGAAAGCAGGCTTCGCCAAATCTTAGACCAATCAAAATGATAAAATAATTGATATTTCGTCTCTTCCTGTGTTTTCATAATTTTCCGTCCATTCGCAAGTGGCTGAATCTCACCGGAGAGAAATCATCCGAGTGAGGGAAACAGCGCCCCTCTGTCTCAGTATGTGTAGCCCATGTATCTGATGCTCGTCTGGACCAAAAGAGTATGACATGTTGCCATCGTAGCATTTGATTGACTGATGCCAGCAAGCATTTAGTTTCCCTTAATAAAACAATTATAAAATATCAGCAGCAAAACAACCTCCAAGGGAGGCCAGTTTGGATTTGGCTTAACACCAATCAAATCACATCCTTTGCAAAACATCATTTTCAGAAAAACGTGTCTGTTTCTGGTCTGCTTGTGTTGATGTCCTGTTGTAGCTAGATTGCTAAATTGGCCCT